GTCATCGAATGTTGAGACTGTCCCAAAAATCCAAAAAGAGAGGAGATGGTAATCCTTTGGTGAAAATGTCCGCAAATTGAGAAGAACTCGGAACGTGAAGAACCCGGACCTCGCCTGTGGTGACACGATCTCACACAAAGTGTAAATCGATCTCCACATGCTTGGTGCGCTGATGATGAACGGGATTCTGTGTCATGTAAACAGAGCTCACATTGTCACAAAACACCACAGTGGCACCAGTCACCGGTCGATGAAGCTCCTGAAGAAGCTGCCGTAACCAACATGTTTCAGCCACGACATTTGCAACTGCCCTGTATTCGGCCTCGGCACTGGAGTGAGAGACCGTGTGTTGCCGCTTAGCAGACCATGACACCAAGTTAGTGCCAAGGAATACACAATAGCCCGAGGTAGACCGGCGAGTGTCAGGGCAACCTGCCCAATCAGCGTCAGAATAGGCCAGCAATTTGTTGGAGCTGCGTCGAAACAAAGTGAGGCCATGACCGGTAGTACCGCGGATATAGCAAAGCACACGCTTCACAAGGAGCAAATGATTAGTCCGAGGATCATGCATATGAAGACAAATCTGTTGCACAGCATAAGAGATGTCCGGCCGAGTGAACGTGAGGTACTGAAGACCGCCTGCAATACTACGATACTCGGTGGGATCTGCAACTGGATCACTGGACTTGGCTGAAAGTTTGGAGGTAGTATCAACTGGAGTAGAGATGGGTTTGCACTGCAACATGCCAGCTCTGTCAAGAAGATTCAGTGCATACTTCTCCTGGGAGAGGAACAAACTATCCTTGCCGCGTGTGACAGAGATGCCCAGAAAATAATGAAGATCACCCATATCTGTCATACTGAATTCGGTACGAAGAGAGGCAATCAAACTGTGCAACAATGTCGAGGAAGATGCAGTCAAGATAATGTCATCTACATAGAGCAGGAGATAGGCCATGTCAGCACCACGCCGATAGACAAACAAGGAGCTGTCGGACTTGGAGCCAATGAAACCAACCGATGCAATGAACGAAGCAAACCGCTGAAACCATGCTCGAGGCGCCTGTTTCAAACCATAGAGTGATTTGTTGAGACGACAAACCTTATCAGGGAAACGAGGATCAGTGAACCCACAAGGTTGACGAGCATAAACAGTCTCGATGAGAGTGCCATTGAGGAATGCATTCTTGACGTCAAGCTGATGAATGGACCAGTCACTAGAAAGAGCAAGAGAGAGCACTGTTCGAATAGTGGCTGGCTTAACGACCGGGCTGAAAGTTTCATCAAAGTCGATACCTTCCCGCTGAGTAAATCCACGAAGCACCCAACGAGCTTTGTAGCGATCCAAAGAACCATCAGACTTCATCTTGTGACGGTAGATCCACTTACCAGTAACAATGTTAGCATTGCGAGGTGGATCAACGAGGTCCCAAGTGTTGTTGGAGAGAAGAGCACCATACTCCTCAACCATAGCGGAATGCCAATTTGGATCCTTGAGAGCACCGCGATAAGTCTTCGGTATTGGAGATAAACCCTCAACATGAAGATCAAATATCTTTTTCGGCTGCACAATACCCTGTTTAGCACGAGTGACCATGGCGTGGGATGGAGGCGGTGGAGGGGCCCGCGGTCGGCGGGTCCAGGGTGGATCCACAGCAGCAGGAGCCTGCGACGGCGTTGCCGGCGGTGACGCGGCTGCAGTAGGAGAAGGACTCCCAGCAGGGCCGCCATCGGGACTCCCAGCAGGACCCTCGACAGAAGCTCGTGCCCGAGGCGACCGGGGCGAGGTCGGTGGCGGCGACCGTGGAGGGGGCCGTGGCGGTGGCGACGGTGACCGTGGCGGCGACCGTGGGGCCGCGTCCGGGGTGACCGTGCCTGGCACGGTGAACGGCATCAACGAGACCGGCTGCTCAGTACCCTGCAAAAAATCATAAGTGTGCAGGGAAGGAGTAGGAGTTGACGAAGATGGAGTGGAGGCAAAGGGAAAGGTGGACTCATCGAACACTACATGACGAGAGATGATGATCTTTTGGGTGGAACGATCAAGGCAACGATAGCCATGATGCCGTGATGGGTACCCTAGAAACACGCATGGCACGGAGCGAGGCGCAAGTTTGTGCGGAGCAACGGCTGTGGTGTTGGGGTAACATAGACATCCGAAAACCCGAAGACCAGCATAGGCAGGATCTACGCCAAGTAAAGCTTGAAAAGGAATACGATCCGAGATTGCCTTGGAAGCCAGCCGATTATGTAACATAACGGTGGTGTGGAGAGCTTCGACCCAAAAACGAGGTGGCATACTAGCTTGGATAAGGAGTGTACGAGTAATGTCATTAAGAGTACGAATAATGCGTTCGGCTTCTGTTGCGAAGTGTATGGACATGAAAAGCGGAGTGCAATTCCATGGTGCTGGGCAAACGAATGGAGGAGTGAATTATCGAACTCACGACCATTATCACACTGAATAGCCTGCAAGTGTGCACTAAACTGGGTGAGCGCTAAAGCATGAAGGGACGACAAGTGCGAGAAGGCTTCAGACTTAACCCGTAGAGGGTAAACCCATGCATACTGAGTAAAATCATCAAGACAAACGAGATAATACTTAAAGCCAGAAATACTCTCATCAGGAGATGTCCACAAATCACAGTGAATAATTTGAAACAGAGTAGTGGTTACACGATTGGTGCAGGAAAAAGGAAGACGAACATGACGACCTAACTGACAAGCATGACACAAACTACTTGTATTCTTTTCCCTAGGGATGATCGAAGAACGAGATAATGACTCCATAACGGGCCGCCCAGGGTGCCCAAGCCGACGGTGCCAGAGTGCTGCATCGGCGACGAGGAAGGCGTGTGGCTAACTGGTAGAGGAAGGATGGATGGAGTAAAGAGCTCCGAAGCTATTGCATCTGAGAATCTCGTTCATGGTTAGGAGATCCTTCACAGAAAACCGAGAGGGTCAAATTCGATGGATACACGATTATCAATGGTGAATTGACGAACAGACAAAAGGTTTTTAACTATGTTAGGAACTACTAAGACATTACGAAGGTAAAGAGGACGAGAGGTGGTGGAAATAGGAAGACGTGCATGCCCGGTACCGGTGATCGGAAGGGTGGAACCGTTACCGACAACGACAGCACGTCGAGAGGAGGAGGGGGGGACACGGAGTTGAGCATACCGGGATCGGACGCAAAGTGGGAGGAGGCGCCGGTGTCCATCACCCACTCCCTGGTGGGTGCTTGCAGCCCCATGGTCTGGAACTGATGCATGAGCGCGGCCTGGTCCCATGAAGCAGTTGTTAATGCCGATGATGATGGAGCCGGCCCGGGGAGTCCGTAGGAGGACTGTCCAGGGGTGTAGCCGTAACCGTAGGGGGCAATGCCGTACGGGCTCTGGGCATAGAATGCATGCGGCGACGGGGTGTGCCGGGGCGCGTAGCCTGGAGCAGGGGCGTAGGCGGGCGGCGCACGGCCGAGCAGGCCCCCCTGGCCATAGGGCCACATCTGGATGGCACCGTTCCAGGGGTGCTGTGGTGAGGGCCAGGAAGAAGTGGCAGCCGACGGGGTCGCGGGCGCCGGGATGATCTCCTTGGTGACGCCAGCGGCGGCCTTCTTCTTCTTCTTTCCTTTTCCAGAGGCCTTGCCAGGGTTGCCGGTGTTTCCAGGGTTGCCGGCGGTGTTGGTGAAGAGGGCCGTGTCGGAGTTGCGGGCGCGGCGATTTTTGCGCTTCATGTCCTGGAGCGCGAGCAACGAGCGGCACTGCGCGAATGTCATGCCCGCCATGAGGGAGATTAAATCAGCAGCGGCCTCGTATTGCTCGGAGAGGCTGTTGAGGCAGTGGACCACCATCTCAGCATCATCAACGGGGGCGCTGAGATCCGCAAGCCCATCGGAGAGGGATTTGACCTTCTGAAGATAGTCGGCCATGCTCATCTCTCCCATCTTGACATCGCCAAGCTCGGCCGTGAGGTGGAGCTGACGATTGATCTTGTGGTCGTTGAAGAGACCGTTGATGCTGTTCCAGAGATCGACGGCGAGGGGATCGTCACCGGGCGTCATGACGGCGTCGAGGATGCTGAGAAAGACTGACCCATAGAGCCAAGAGACGACGGTGGCGTCGAGGAGAAACCACTCCGGGTTCGGCGCGTCGGGGGCGTCGAAGTCGAGGTGATCCAGGAGGGCGTACTTGCGGCAAGCGGCGCGGAAGAAGGTGCGCCACTGACGGTGAACGCCGGTGTCAAGCGCGAGCTCGACGGGAACGTGTCCCTTGATGGAGTGCAGGCCGACGGCCTGGGCATGCAGTGAGGTCAAGGAGAAAGACCCCGCGCTCGACCCAGATCCATCAGGGGCGGTCGCGAGAGGCAGCTTGGCCTTGGCGGCCTCGGCGGCTTCAGCGTCCTGGCGCTCCTTGGCCGCGGCCAGCGCCTGGTTCGTGGCGTCCGCGTCGGGCTGCGACATGAAGGCGGCGATCGGGGCGCGGCGGCGAGAAGGGTGGTGGCTTCGGCGGCAGCGGAAAGAGGAGGGGGCAGCACAGGCTAGGGTTAGGGTTTTAGGCTCTATACCATGTAAGATTAGGGAAACCACATGTTGTGGTGCCTTGTATTGATCAATATATATATAGGTTACAAGGCTGAGTTCGTGTCATACAATATACGGACACCTATACAAGGACTATACATATACAACTGTATAACTATACAAAACAAATATGGTTATATATTCTAACATGTCGTGGTGTGTGTACGTGTATACTCCACCTTTGAAATTGCAAAAAGAAAAGAAGATACCAACTATTTACACAACCGAGGCATTAAGCTTAGTCATGCATGGGGCGAAGCAAAGAAGAAAAGGAGAAATAAGGATGCAGAACACAAACTATCGGCTCGTAGTAATAAATTAACTAAGAAGAAGATTGTACACTTAAATACTTAGAGCAACCATACAATAGTGTTAAAACAAGTATTTTGATGGGAGTCATACAACAAGTTTACAATCTTCAGCTGCGTCTGCGTCCGCGTTTAAGTCTTTTAGCCTTCTCTGGAAGATCTCCGATCATACAAGGAGTGTATATAAAGGACTCATCAACCAACAATGTCATACTATAAACTGTTGGACGCATATAGCCTATATACTGAACTTTTGAGCTATCAAAATGATAAGCCACCGCTTCAAACCGCTCCATCAAGAAGAAGGCAATCTCTTTGTAGGGGTGAAACCCAAGTAGCTGACATCCAAGTAATGGACAGTGTCCAGGACGGCGTCCACACTCATCGAGAATATTATCATCATCCCAGTTCCAATCAAGAATCACTTTCTCTAGCCTTTTGTTATTGCCATATTTGTCAAGATCATGATCATCATCAAAGATCCAGGGTCTGCAGATTCCCTTAGGGTTGAGGGAATATATATTTGCCGATGGCTCAACAAGGCCAATGCTATTCTTCAACACCCATTCTACCTCACCATTTGATTCACTCAGGTGCCAAATACGAATTCGACCTTGAAGATTTGCAAAGTACAAACCCGTCTCGGAGCTTCCAAGGTAATGCTCCCCAACTTTGCATTCGTTGGCATCTATTGGTGTCTCTATTACTTGATATTTGCCATTAGACGATGATAACCTGCAAAGATTCATGCCCATAAATATTATTTTTAGTGTGGTACTGATACAATGGTGATGTCAAATAGACAATAAGAATACAAGGGAATTTAACATTACGCTTTCAGTTTAATGATGTGTACCTTGTGACAAACGTACCATAACAAAGCAGCACGTGTAATGCTCCACGCCAGTAGGCGCTGTAGCGCCATCTTGTCACCCCATTGGTCGTGAACATCAGTGAACCCCGCACGTTGACCACTCTCCTCGTAGCACTGCCTTCCCTGACAAACGACCTCTCCTGCCATTGTCCCATGCTTGACGAGAAAACGTCGAGCGTCAACACGGGCGGCGGCCATTCTGTCGAGTGTTGTGGAACCTCCGTGCTCCATGGAGGTTCCAACAAGTAGCGTGAACTTATCGTGAAGTTTTCTTCGGCGAGCTGTTCTGGCTGAACCTCCGCCAACTTGCAGTCCGTCACATCGAACAGCCCTAGATCCTTAGGAAGGATCAAGAACACCTCATAGTGCGGCGACGCGGCAGGGTCAAACGCAAGATAGGCTTCACGGCATTCCCCATCATCATGCGCTCCAGGCAGGCGTTGCCACCGCCGCGTGGCGGGGTTGGCCACAAAAAACTCCCTCGTGTCGCCGTAGAGCAGGAGACCATTGCAGTGGTCCGCGATCTTTCTGTGGCCTTCTGTGTAGTTGGGCAGGAAGTGGAGGTTGCCGTGGTCGACGCAGGAAGTGGAGGGGCGGGCGAGGAATTGCGGGCGGTGGTGGTCGTTGTAGTTGGCGAAGATGCCCTCCACCGAGTGCGGAAGGAGGTGCGGAAGCAGCAGCCGCCGGGCGTCCACGACTGCGCGCCACGCCCTGCGCACGCAGCAGGACGCGGCGAGGTCACGTGGTCCGAGACGGCCGAGGATCGCCGTGAGCACGTCGTCGGGCAGCGCCTCCGTGTGATCCATCGGACCTCGCTGATGTGAACCACGTAGACACGTACGGCGGCTTATATTGAGCCGGACTCTGACGTTTCTGTTTGGGAAAAGTACTTTTTCTGATGACAACTATCGCCAAGTATGATGCAACAGATACATGGTAGAATCCTCCAAAAAAAAACATATACATGGTAGAGTTTGTACCGACCTCACCCCTAAAAAAAGGAGAGTTTGTACCGACCTCATGTGACTTCTTTCTCGTTCGAAATTCGCACCGAACTCATGTACGTTTTTTCTTCTTACCATATCGTATGGATTGAAATTCAACAAAAAAAAAAGCAGAAACTTCAAAAGTCGTAAGGGCATCTTCAACGGCAACCCACAAAAAACATCCCGCATCTGTCAGCATCAAGGGAGACCAGTCCACGGACACGGATATGTGAGATAATAGGTCGAAGCGTCTCAACTCCTATACACAGGAGCCCGCATGTATATATTGATATTGGCGAGGCCTGATCTCGCATGAGGCATACATATACGATTGAGAGATACATGGAGAGATAAGGAAAGATTACATCAAGAGATAAAGATAAAAGGATCTTCCTAACTACTCCAATATCTTGAGGTACAAGGCTGCTATACAGACTTGTAACGTGACAATGTTTAACACGCCCCCACAATCACAGATTAAGTTGAGATTACGTCGAAACACTTCAAAGCTTCTAGTAGGTAATGCCTTGGTAAACCCATCTGCAAGCTGATCTTTAGAGGGAATAAACCTGATCTCAAGTTCTTTGTTTGCAACTTTCTCTCTAACAATTAAAACGAAAGTCTATTTCAATGTGTTTGGTTCTAGTATGAAACACTGGATTAGCAACAAATAACTTGCTCCAAGATTATCACACCAAAGAAGAGGAGTTTGAGTGTGCATTACTCCAAGTTCTTTTAATATGGCATGAACCCAAATAACTTCAGCTGTGGCATTGGCCAATGCCTTGTATTCTGCTTCAGTGCTAGATCTGGAAACAGTAGGTTGCTTCTTTGCGCACCATGAAATCAGATTAGGTCCATGAAAAATAGCAAAGCCCCCCGTGGACCTTCTGTCCTCCAAGCAACGCCAGTCCAGGCCGCATCAGAGAAAGCACTAGCACGAGTGGAAGATGATTTTTTGATTGCTAGACCAAAACACATTGTATTCTTGACATACCTCAAAATACGTTTTGCTGCAGTCCAGTGAGCTGTGGTAGGGGCATGCAAGAACTGACATACTTTGTTAACTTCGAAGGAAATGTCAGGTCTGGTCAGAGTTAAGTACTGAAGTGCACCAACAATGCTCCTGTAACTTGTACTGTCCTCCTGATTCAGGGGTTCTCCTTCTGTCAAAGAGAGTGGTTCCGAACTGGACAGAGGAGTTGGGCAAGACTTGCAATCTTGCATACCAATTCTGCGCAATAGGTGAGTCACATACTTGCCTTGTGATAAGTGAATGCCATAGTCAGTTTTCATTACTTCAATGCCTAAGAAGTAGTGCAAATCACCCAAATCTTTAAGAGCAAAATCTGACCTAAGATCATTTAACAATGTTGTGATTGCTGAGCTAGATGAACTTGTGACAATAATGTCATCAACATATATGAGGACAAAGATGGTGGTGTGAAACTTGTTGAAAATGAATAAAGAAGTGTCAGACTTTGAGGGAATAAAGCCAAGTGCTTGCAGTTTCAAATTTAACCGGGAATACCAAGCTTTGGGGGCCTGTTTCAGTCCATACAGAGCCTTGTCAAGCTTACAAACATGAAGGGGTGCATCTTTATTCTCAAACCCAGGAGGTTGTTTCATGTACACCTCCTCTTCCAGAACACCATAAAGAAACGTGTTATGAACGTCTAGATGTCGAATACTCCATCCTCTGGAAACAGCAAGAGATAACACAAGACGAATAGTTGTAGCCTTGACAACAGGGCTGAAAGTATCCTCATAGTCAATGCCATAGTGTTGCTTAAATCCTTTTACAACCAAGCGTGCTTTGTACTGATCAATAGTACCATCTGATTTTCGTTTGACCCTATAAACCCATTTGTAATCAATTAAATTTGTACCTGCACGACGAGGAACAAGATGCCATGTGTTTGTTATGGTGCAACGCAGAAATTTCTTCTTCCATGGCATGTTTCCAGCGGGCATCCCCAAGCGCATCAGCCAAGGTCTTGGGTTCACTAGCTTCTCCTGTCAAACAAGTGAGACCATACTTAGAAATATTTTTATAGTTTATACGGTTTGTGACTCCCCTTTGTAGACGTGTACGTGGAGGTGAAGAAGCAGCAACAGAGGATCCTGGTGCCTGACCAGGTGTTGCAAGAGGATCTGCAGCCACCGTGGATCCCAAGCCTGGGGACTCATCAACTAACGCGTCAGATGGTGCTGGCGAATCAGCATCCGCCGTGGGCTCCAACCTGAGGAGGCAGCATGGGCCGGGGAAGCAGTGTCAGCGTGGGCTGTGGAAGCAGCGTCAGCGTGGGCCGGGGAAGCAGCATCAGTGCGGGGGCCCGTGCGGTCCGCCGAAGCGGGGCGATGATTGGTGATGTTCGCGCGGGTGGAGGGCGCGGGGTTCGGTGAGCAACATGCAGGCCCACCCGTCAGCGAGGAGGAGACGGGGACAGGCACAGATCCCGTGGCGGGGCGCGTTGCTTCTGACGGGCGGATCTGAGTGGATCCCGAGGCCTCTGGTGGGTCTGGCGATGACGATCCCAAGGTGGATGCGGTTGGGAAGTGTGTGCACATGAAATCTTGCACTGTAGCAGTATTTTCCAACCTGTTTTCAGCAGCGTTTGCACCATTTTCTGCAGCTGATATTTCTGAAACAGTACACTTGGGCAAACCATTAGGAGAGTTAGGCAATAATGGACCAAAACAATTATTTTCTTCCCCACAATCAATACCAAGGAGATGTGGAGGCAACAGAAGGATTTCTTTTCGGAGGAGTGCACCGGCGTTGGGGTGGAGTTTGGCGAAAGGGAATTGTGTTTCATCAAAGACAACGTCACGAGAGATGTAGACGCGTCTAGTGGGAATATTCAGACATTTAACTCCTTTGTGTTGTGCACTACAGCCAAGAAATACGCATTGCTTGGAACGAGACATAAGTTTTCGATTGTTGTAAGGACGAAGATTAGGCCAACATGCACAGCCAAACACACGAAGTGGAGTATAGTTCGGTTTAGCATGCAGAAGCCGTTCAGTGGGAGTGTCATGTTTGATGACACGACTTGGTAAGATGTTTATGAGATGCAAAGCAGTAAGAAATGCTTCGTCCCAAAATTTCAGTGGCATAGATGCAGCAGCAAGTAAAGCAAGACCTACCTCAACTATGTGTCAATGTTTACGCTCGGCAGAGCCGTTTTGCTGGTGTGCGTGTGGGCAAGAAACATGATGAGATATTCCCAATTTCTGAAAGAAGGAATTTAGCTTTTCATATCCCCCCCCCCTAGTCGGATTGAACAGCAAGGATTTTACTATCAAACTGTCTTTCAACAAGAGCTTGAAAATTGAGAAAGACTTGAAAGACATCAGTTCGTTTTTTGAGGAGATATATCCATGTATATTTGCTAAAATCATCAATAAAGCTAACATAATAAGCATGTCTACCAGCAGAAAGAGGAGCAGTCCCCCATACATCAGAAAATATAAGTTGTAGTGGTTTGGTAGAAACACTAGTTGATATAGGTATGGCAACTGATGACTATTTGCTTTTTGACAAAAATCACACATTGTTTCAGGATTGTGCTCTCCAACAAATGAGAGTTTATTTTTGCTAAGAACTTGATAAACAATAGAAAAAGAGGGATGGCCTAAACGAGCATGACATCGCTCAAGTGAGAGTCTAATGGCACTACACACTTGTTTATTGAATCTACAAACTTGGGGAATCAAACGGGTAAAGTCCATCCACACATCTACCTCGGTAGAGAACCTTCCTCGTGACCTGATCCTTGATCAAAAAGAAGAATGGGTGAAATTCTAGAAAGACATGATTATCAAGAGGAATGCGATGAACGGAAAGGAGATTTTTGGATGAACTAGGGCAGTGATGAATATTATTTAGATGAATATCTCTATGTGGGGAATGAATAATTGAATGGCCAATGTTGCTTATCTCCATACCTGTACCATCCGCATTGTGGACTTGATCATGTCCATGATATCTTTCATGCATGGTGACTTTTTCCAACTCATGGGTGATGTGGTCGGTTGCACCAGAGTGCACATACCAATTGGTATCTACACCATATGACTTGTTGGCTGGTGCGGCAACCTTTTTCTTCTGGGAGTTATCATTAGCATAGCGCCACTTGCATTCTTTTGCAATATGATTAGTTTTCTTGCAAATCTGACATTTTCCTTCATATTCATCATACCCTCTGAAATTGTTGTTGTAGTTGTTTTGGCCTCCCCTGTTGTTGTTGTAGAAGGGGCGACAGACGTTGGTGTTGTAGTTGTTTCCTCCGCTGCCGCCGGAGTTGGAGTAGTGGCCGCCATAGCCACCGCCATGGTTGCTGCCACCATCACTATAGTGGCCGCCGCTGCCACCACCGTGGGGGTTGGAGTAGTGGCCGCCGCCGCCACCACTGCCGTAGTGGCCACCACCACCGATGCCGTCATGTCCTCCGCGACGAGGGTCGCTGCCGCCGCCACAGTAGCCTTTGGAGGAGCCACCCCGACCGCGAGAAACGTATTGGCTGAAGACTTGAAAGCTTGGCCGCCTGTGCCCTGGAACATCTCGACTCGCTGGTCAAAGGTGGATACCATGCTGAAGAGCTCTTCGACCGTGGTCGGCTCAGGACGCACGTCCAAGGCGCTGATGATGGGATGGTACTCCATGCCAAGCCCAGAGATGATGTGGGAGAGGAGCTCGTCATCATCTATGGGTTTCCCTGTTGCTGCGATCTCATCGGCAAGACCTCGCATATAGACGAAGTATGCAGCAGCCGACTGGGTTCCCTTCTGGGCGGTGGTGAGTGCGATGCGGATGT